GAACTGTTTTTCATTAAACAAGCTTCCATCTAAATCCTTTCAAAGCCTCCATGCTGAGATTCCCTTGGAGACATTCAATAACCAATATCTACAACTATAAGAGACTCAAACTGCCCACTTACCTAAAAACCTTTAGAATTTGGGCAGTTAACAAGATTGGGATGTACTGCTACTTTAAAATCACAGGCTTTTCCACATACTCTGTATTTTTTGTGTGTCTTTAAAAAAATGTTTGTCCTCTACACTGAAGAGCTATACTACAACAAGCCACTCAAGATATTCCCAGGAGTGTGCAATTATATTTTCTGCATGCTGATGAAACCTAACAAAGTGTCTCAACAGGTCACCAGATTATAGAAGACAGTTGTCTAAGCTACAGATACATAAACGGTCCCCACAAGAGCCTTGAATGTGACATTCTCCCTAGAGTTCCTTCAAAAATTGCTCTCAATTTGTAATTTTAATATAACAGAATAAATATATGATGATAGAGTAAATATATGAGAAGTACTATACTCATATTAACTGTATTTAATTAATGTAAATAATTTTAAAATTAACTGGAATAAAATCAAACTTAGTTTTTGTCCTGTCCCAACCACTTTTTTCTTGATCTTGTCGCTCTCTCTCAGCCCTAGGAAAAAGAAGGCAGTGACAAACCACTTCCAAAATCTAGCCAAGAAAACTGTAGGGACTTGTCCAGGCAGTCACCAGGAGCCAATACTGACTCAAAAGTGCACACGCGCGCGCGCACACACACACACATCAATTTATTGGAGTGTGATCCTTGGCTTGCCAGTCAAAGGCCAAGTATAGTCCACAGAATAAAAAGTTGAACGCTCTTGATTGGAAATAAATGATCTGAACTTATCGATGGGGCAGTATCATTATATACTTCTGGAAAACTCTATATCCCAAATATAAACATTGCAACAACCTGTTTATAGACGAGTCTCTAATCAATAAATCATTAGTACTTCAGGCTGCCTTGGTCTTTCTGGAAAACAACATGTTCTAAAATAAGGCAATCATATGGGAGTACATGGTATGACTGAGGCATTTGAGAATTACAAAGTTATGCTGATTTATAAAGTGCATTGCACTGGCTATGCCTCATTCCATTGATGAAAAGAGTCCATTTATCCAGCATTTAGATACCAAATGGAATACTAACACTCAGAACATGTTTTATAATTCTTCAAGAATTTCATTCAAAATGTAGCACGGTCAACTTGCATGCATGTGTGTGTGAGACAGGTTATGTATATTTTGTGATTCTAGAATACAAAAAAGATTCCATCTTCTGGGAATCCCAGCTTGAATTTTGTTTTGAAAGCAAAATGTATGACAGCAAATATACATTTTAAAAAGTGAGCATTGTTTGTTAAAATATCAGTGGGTGGAGTATGTGGTGGTATTTTTGAAACATTTTATTTCATTCAATTTTTCCCCTATTGCAATAGGATTAACTATTACTCTTATACCCCAACAGGTTTATTTTTACAGCAAAAATTTCATAGGATGTTGCTGTAAGGAAATGCTATGTACTTGATCTAGTGCTGCTGCAAGAAATATAGTTTATAAATCTAACAAATAACTAAAAATAAAATAATTTGGCTCAAACCCTAGTGACCAGATTATGTTAATAAATCAGAGTTCAAGAAGTCCGTCTCCAAAAGGCCTACATCCAAACCAAACCCCAGTACACAGAGCAGAAGAATCATAGAGCCAGTCTTTCCTCTCCCTTTTGGATTCTAAATGGTTTGCCACAGTAGTTCAGTTACACTCCTGACTAAGTAGACAAAAAGAAAAAAAATGAGATGCTACAAAACCTTCTTAGCCATGTGACCTGTTTGTGTCAACCCTCCTAAATGAATCAAATCTCTGTCTTAGAGCAGCTACAGGTGACAAACATAAAGTTATGTTTTGG